GTAGTTTTCTTAGTAGTTTTCTTGATGACTTTTTTAGTAGCTTCCTTAGTAGATTTTTTGATAGCTTCTTCAGTAGCTTTTTTGGCAGCTTCTTCAGCAGCTTTTTTGGCAACTTCTTTGATAGCTTTTTTGGTAGCTTCTTCAGCAGCTTTTTTGGTAACTTCCTCAGCAGCTTTTTTGATAGCTTCCTCAGCAGCTTTTTTGGCAGCTTCTTTAGCAGTTTTTTTGGTAGCTTCTTCAGTAGCTTTATTAGTAGCTTCCTTTAGGAGTTTTGAAAAACTCTTTTCATAGTTATAAAATATATCTTGAAAATATTTTAAAAGAAAAAGGACAGTTTTATCATATAAAAAATCAAAGGTCCTTATGTTATAAGGATATCTACGTGCTTTGCTATATGTATCTTTAAATGTAGTATCGTGATTCATAATTATATAGGCTTGTTTGATAATGTTATTAGTTGTAGCATTTTGAGATATATTGGCTCGAATCTTACTATGTGTATTCTCTACATAATATTCATTTAAACTTGGCAAATGCTTCTGTAATGCATCTAAAAAAGAGTGGTTAGTATCTATCTAATAAAACATATTTGACAAAAACATAAGGGGTGCTTTATTATAATTTTTTCATTTTCAACGCGAAGCAAATGTCCAAATACGAAAAACTGCTGCTATATATTCATCGAATTGATCTGAACAAAATAATATTGCATAAACATCAAGTGTTACCAAGACTAAATTATCAAATAAGTCAAGCATTGTACAATACTCTATGTTTTTACATGTTTGACCAAATTTTCTAATGATATTGTTTTTGATTTTTATCCATCCATTATGTGTGAACTCTAAGATTAGGTTTATTCTCCAGAATCGAGGTTTTTTTGCTAATTTTTTTTTCTCTCCAAATACAACACGAAATAATTTTTCAAAAAATAAATGATAAATTATTAAAACTTGCTCTCTACTGTTTAATAAAAGATGAAGTGGGCCTAGCATAGGCAAAAATGATTTAATTTTACTTGGAATAGTAGCTTGTAGATTCAGTACTATATACATATACCATGCTTTTCTAATAAAAATCTGTCCTTGCCAATTTGCAACAACTAGTACAATGTATCTATTTAAGTATTGTGTTTTATTATTAATTCATAATATCATTTTTAAAGCATTAATATAATCTTGTAAAGAATGTAGATGTTGTTCTTTAAACCCTATTAATTGAAGTCCATTCATTGATCGTTCTTCCTTGCGTTCTATTATATTATTAGCATAACTATGAACTGTTAATATTTTAATTGGATCATACTCAGTAACAACTGAATGATCTTGTAAAATTCTAAGTGTTTGATAGTCAGAATATGATATATCAAAAATTCCTGTATACTTTTTAAGTAAATACTAACAAATTCTTGATGCTTCAATATTAACTGGGTTATGAATTGATACTCTATTAAAAATTATTGGTAACAAAGGATATTCCAAAACTAGTTTTGCTATGCAAGTAGCAAAATGTTTTGCTGTCAAAGTTGATACAGTATTAGGTCTACGATTTTCATGAATTGCATGATAATCATTAATATTGTAAACATGAAAAAAAAATTTCTAAATAAATACATATAAAAAAAAAATTATGAATGTATATACATATATTTAATAACATATCAATATAACATATTTATTAATTTACATGATTAATAAAATGGTTTTCTATTTTTATTGTATGTTCTTTTTAAATGTTTTTATGAAATTCTTCTACTGTTTTGGTACATGCTGAGTATCTAAGACTTGAAATCATATCAATAGCCTCCTATGTTGCTCCTGAAGCCATTAAATATAAACCAACTTCTAATTTATATTAATTTATAAATTTGTTATGCAAATCTGCTATCTGGTAACACAACCCAACAATTGTCTTCTTGGCTTCATTAATATTATAGGCTGAGCGTTCTATTAGAACAATTGCATTCATCATAAATCCAAAAAAACTTTTTAGTTGTGGATTAATACTTTCAATCATATATTTGAATTTTGTTGGATCTAGTTCTAAACTAGTATATTCTTGACATTGTCAGTAGTATAAAGCATCTGTTAGCATTTTTATATATGAAGCAAAATCTGATAATAAAGTTAAAAAGAAGAAGAAGAAGAAAAAAAAAATATATATATATATATATATATATAAAATATTTACTTATGTTATTGTTTGATATTGGTTCTATCAGTTCCAATACTTGTCTTTGCTTTTTTTTTTTTGTTGGTTTACACCTTCTTTGGTTTCTGTTACTTTCTACAATCATACAATAATGCAAGTAGCAGAGTTAATTTTCAAGTATGAAGTAAGGGTATACTTCTAGTATTCATTTTTTACAACATTTTGCATATGCAACTTCTGTGATTAAATGAAATTTTACATTAGTATTAGTGCAATTAATAATTGAGCAGAGGCCAATGTTCCTTGATTTCATTTTTTACATAACTTGGTCTTTATTTTTTAAAAGAAAGATTTTTTTCATCTTTTATAATCTAATCGTATTATCTATATATACTACATACCATATACTAAATTTATTCCTTACACTATCTTGCTATTGCAAGCAAATATTCAAATTGTCATAAGTGATATTTAGAGATGGACAAATTTATTATATATTTTTATTTAATATTACTTAACGTTATTTAATTTTTTGAACACTAAGTATTAATAATTCATTCTGAGAATTCTATTTTTAGTGACAAAAATTTACATATTTATTTAATCTCAGCTTTAATTAATATTATTTCTTACTGTTATCATTATATGATAGTATTACTTAATATTAGTTAAACGATAAAAAATAAGTATTGATTGCTTAATAAATTACTTTGCTTATCTTTAGTGATACTACATTACTATCGAGTTATTTAAATTCTAGCATACTCAAAAAACTCTGCTTCACTATATAGCTATGATACAAGTTATTCTTAGTGATCTGTTCCATCAATAAATATTTTTTAAATTCACTATATTGAGGGTTCAATAATAAATTCATATTGAAAGAATTTTATATGAATCAATTTAACTTAATTCTTTCGAAATTTTTACTTTACTATAGCACAGAAAATAAGAGATTAGCCAATCACATTTAATGAAGATCATTATAATTACAGCTAATTAAAAAGAATTTATGTCATACTACCTTTTATTCTTTCTATTAAAGTTAGATTTATCTTCTACAATCTCTTTAATATTAGAATTCTTTTAGTATAGATACTAATAGATAGTCTTATATTATTAGTATTAAACTGTACATAAAGAATACTCTTTGCTTTAATATAATCTTTCTAATAAATCATTTTTGTAAAATAATATCTACTTTAATACTTTTAAGAATCTCTTTTTTATTTTTATATTACTTGTAATATACTAAAAAGGCTATATCACTTGCAACAATATGATAAGTAGAAATAGATAGTACTGAGAATAGAGTAGTTAGTATTAGTGCTCCTAATCAGGTCAGGTCAACTCAAAACCCGACTCAAATTTTTTGGTCAGGTCAAATTCAGGTTAGAAAATTTTGACTCAAAAAACTTCGGATTGAGTTTGGGTTAGGTTCGAGTTGAACATGAACTCAACCTGACTTGACTCGAAACTATGCGATTTAGAAATCGTGCTTTTGGGCCAATCAGCATCAATCATATAGAATTTAATTAAATGATTATCATAACTAGAATTAATTATCTGGTATTATGCTTCTGACCAAAATTATAGCTAGTCTAAATTATGAAATTACACTGCGTCTAAAATTTCTGACTAATTAGTAAAATTGATGTTAGCTAATCACAATTGATAATCATCAACGACATTTTGAAATTTTACTACTACTTTCATAATTCGTAAAATACCTAATAATTTTTACTCTACCTAAAATATTCCTAGTATTGTTCAATAAATTACCTAACCTTTCAGAAACTATATAGCTGTCTTTGGATTGGAAGTCTGAAGATAGTAATATAAGTTTCAAAAGGTTAGGTAATTACTAGACGAGACTGAAAATTTCAGGTAGCGAAAAAATTATCAGATGATCCAGTATAGAGGTCAGAATTGGTTGTAAAATTTAAAACCCAAATTGATTAAATACGATTATGAAAAAAACCAATTTATGCTAAATTGGATTGGCTTAAACTAAATTTAATTCGAATTATCAGATTAATATTTAGCTGAAAAGAAAAACCTTTTTTGTTATATTGGATAAATTGGTTACTAATACGTAATTTTGAAATTTGATAGAAAAAGAAAATACTGAAATAAAACTGAATGCTAATTTGAACTAGTTTGTCGAAGGGTTACAACAGAATTAGAACAGATTTACTATTTAAACTGGTTTAACCCGAAGTTAAAGTTGAATTTCATAATTTAGTTCTGACCTCTACTCTAGGAATTATGATAATATGTGCACTGTCATCAATAGAAATTAAGTAAATTGTTTTTATTAAAATTTTTTTGAAACTTTAAACAACAATAACTTAACAATAACTTAATTAAATTTAATATAAAATAGTTTAAATAAATTTCTACAAACTTTAACATTTATTTTAAAAAAAAATTATTAAAATTTGTTTAAAATTTCAAAAAATTTATTTAGTTTGATTTCTATTGACAGCAGCTCATATTAGCTTTAAAAATTTTAGGTCAGGTTCGAGTTGGGTTGGGTTCGGGTTTGGTTGAAGTGCTAACTTGAAAGTGTTTTAACCTGATCTGACCTGAATTTTCAGGTTGAGTTTGGGTTAGCTATAACCTGACCTGAACTCGACCCGTTTGGAGTACTAGTTAGTATAGAAAAATTTAAAGTTATTAACTAGCTAATATTAACAAAAGCAGAGATTATAAGAATTTGAATAGTATTTCTAATATTACAATACAATATAATAGTTAAGGTCTTTACAAGTAGTGAGCAAGTAATAGAGCAGATATCTAAAATTCATAATTTTGAGAAAATAATAAATATATTAGATTAGATAATAAAATAATTTTAAAAAAAGTTGTAGTACTATTAAAGCAAAAAGGTATTAATCTAGAGCTACAAAAAGTTAAAAGCTATACAGAAAATTAAGAAAATATTAAAGCTAATTAGCTAGCAAAAGAAGAAAGAAGGTCTTCAACACAACTAGATCTAAGTATAGCTAAAAATAATATTATTAATTACAAAATATTATATAAGTTAAATAAAATTAAAAATTCAATTAAATTATTCATAACAAGTCTGATAAAAAGGTATAATAATAGGTCTAGTGATCTTAGTGTAGTAGTTAGATTACCAGACCACTATACAAGAGGTCTAGAGTTCAAATCTCACTGTTAATGAATTTGAATAATTACTAAGATCTTTGTACCCAACTTATAGTAAACTCTGCTCGTTTCTAGAGGTTACAACCTTATAAATCATGTT